ATCAGTGTTAGTAATTTGATATTTCTCAACATGATCATCTAAAGAGATGGGGGAGGAAGCTTTTGTTTGAAAAGATAACATGTTTTACAAACCTAATGATATTAGTTGGACAGTGCTGAAAGAAGGCCTTTGGAGGGCTGTAAACTCCACCCCCAACAACTGTCTTTTTTTTTTTTTTTCATAAAATTCAATAATCATTGCAAATCTTGCCTCATAGATGTATGTTTTTCTGGATCAGCTGTTAACCATTAGAAGTCACTACTTCTTTGCCGTGTCCAGTTGTTTTTATTTTATTCTGGTAAAGATGAGATGAAGAGGCAAGATTGGGCTCTTTGCTGCAAGGGAGAATAGAGACTGAGATAAATTTTGGGCCTGCAATGTGAGTAATGCAAGTCCCATGTATTTCAGTGGGATTAGCACTTCATGTGCAAGACATTCCCAAATCAGAGTGGTAAGTGCGGAGTTGTGGAAACATGGCAAAATGGGGGAAAATGAAGAATCTGCTGATTTAGATGCTTACATACTAGATTTTAAATTTATTTCTTAGTAGTAGGAGTAAGAATGAAGATCTTGTGGGTCAGTGACCTCACTGTAAGATGTAACTCTCTAACTAAAAACTTTTGAAGAGTTTATTGCTAATTTACTCAATTGTACATAGCTTAAATTGTGTTTTTACCATCCCGTGGAAAATTTCATAAAGCAAAAAGAAATGATTGAGAAACAGATGTACAGGTCTGCAGTAACTTAAAGCCGAAACAAAGTCACAAGTTCAGGTCAAATATTTTTCCTCTCCTAGCATACTCTGTTATTGAAACGCATGTGTAAAGGGAAAAAGGAAATATCTAAAATAACTGTTTATTATGTATTTAGTGTCTGTATTTTTATCAGTCTTCTGTTAAGAAATGTTTTCCCGTAATTCAACTCCTTTTATTAAAAAGGGAATACTTGCCAAAAAAAAATTTGAGCCAATTTGGGGAATTAAAGTCAACTGCATTTGTGATGCAAATTGCAATCACATTATTGCCAGTTAAAGCCAGTGCAACTCAATTGAAGAGTGAAATCTCTGCTCTACTGATTAAACCCTTGTGCATTTTGGAGAATGATGAATATTTACGAAATATGAAATTGGTTTAAAATTGCAAAGACCACCTAACTAGAAGAGCCACCTTGCTGGTAGCCACTGTATCATCATAGTTTACACAAGAGGGTTATTCAGAGCTGCTCAGCTGTATTAGTCTTTTCCAATTTTATTAGCATCTCAGGATTCTTGGGCCTCCAGCAGCCTGAAGTACACCAGCTGCCTCAACATGAATTTGGCACAGTTCGCCAACAGTGAGGAAAGAATTGGAGAGGGTAAAAAAAAAATAGCAGTTTTGTCCTCAGTTTTTAAATATTTTAAGGATAAATGTAAGATGTTTTACTGATGTGTCAGCTGCTCTTAGCTAGCTCTTTCTTTCTCCTGATAATCGTATGTCCTTTTTTAGGAAAGCCTTTTTTAGCAAATATCTGACCATATTAATAAGGTCAGACCTATTGTCTCGTCTCTAGGGAAGAAGTAGCCAAGGAAACAAAACCCCTTGCAGTCTGCATCTACAGCGACCAAGTGTCTTAAAAATCAACTTCCTGAATTCATATTTAAATACTTAACTGTTTTGCTTCTGAAGCCAGAAGCAACCAGCCGTTCTGATTTAAGTCTGTGTGGTGTGTGGAGAGCAGGATTTTTATGAAAGCCAAGAGAACTGGTGTACTAGAGCCATCTGTCAGTCACATTTACTTTTTCACTTCTTAATATGGAAAGGCGATAATCATTGGCAAATTATCCTTATTTGTGCCTGGGAAAAAGAATCAAGTTTTCTTTATTAATAAAAAAACTGCTGGAATTTTGTACACATTATAGGTCTTAGAGTAAGGTCCAGGTCTGTTAAAGGTAGAATGTCAATGCAGTCTTCTGAGCTGAATTGTGAACTGTCTTAATTATGGATTTTTTCCTCAGCGATGAGATTGCCATTCATTGTTTTATGATCCTGTATCATTATGTCTTAGTGAGCTGAGCAGCCATAAATATGCCAGTGCTTCTGTGCAGAGGATCTCCATTAGGGCTTGGACCACCTAGTTATTTCTCCTGAGGAAACCAGTAGCTGTCAGATAGCACCTTTTCATTAGCTACTGACCTGGACTGGTTGTGAACTGGTGACCAACAGGTGAAAGGTATTTTGTATCCCGTTATTAATCCTTAGAGCCATCAAGTCCTTCTGTTAAAATCTTATGAATAACATATTTATCCTTCAAATAAGTCTGCTAGCATGCAGTTGAAAACTTACATTTTTTGCTTTGTAAAGTTGCCAAAGCATGTGGTTGTGCATATACAACTGCACACCCTCCTACTAGAAACTGGGAGGTTTCCAGTGGCTCTTAATGCCTACATCTGTGTGGGTCAATACACAGCAGTGAACATGCACACAGAATGCCTTCCTGCACTAAGGTACTTTTCAGCTGTTTAAACAATTATTGTGGATTTTTGTTAAAAGCTATTTTTCCCCCTTATGCCATATGTTTTATTTAACTCTGAACCCATATGATGGGAAAAGACAATTGCAGGGTTGCCATGTTAATGTTACTACACAGTGCCTACGTTCTGTTATGGAAATTGGATAGCTGAAGAAAGTTTGAATGTACTAGTGGTTGTAGACTGACACAGATGATTAGATTTCATGTTATTTGACATGGATAAGAAAACTTATTAAATCTATGCCGAGGTATAGCAGCAGACAGATGGCACAAAAGAGGACATTTTTAGATAATATGACACAAGCTTCCTTATATTGAAAGACAATGTTTATATCTTTTTTTTTTTTTTTCCCCACAAATGTGGATAAATGAAAATAAGGGCCAATATGAACAAATTGGTTTCTGCTGATCATTTTTAGTCAGTTTGTTTTATGGCTTGGGTAATATAATGTAAGATTTTCCCCCCTTTTCCTGTTAATGGGACTTTGGACCTATTAACAGCTCAGTCCTTCTTTTGATACTGTACATACTGGCATCTGTCATCATTATGTCCTCCAGGGCTCTTGAACTTGGGTGCAATATGCCATTTGGAAAGTGCCAAAAAGAGGAACAGTCATGTATTTTTGGTGATCTCAGTAAATGAAAGTTAATAATGTTTGACAAACATTTGTAGCCATGTATTTCTCTAGTCTGAAGTGACATATTTTTTGCTGTATCCAATGAACTGTTCTTTTATGTTCTAGAAATAGACACAGAGCGCGACCAGCTAAAACTAATGATGATCATCTGTGTGAGAAAAAAAAACCAAAAAACTAATGAAGCACAGTCTATAAATATTAGTTCTGACATTGTATTTCTGACACATGTGCTTGGTGCCTGTCATTTTGGAGCCTCAAGGCTGGGCTTATGTATGTCATAGTACTTTTTGCCAGGCTAAAATGTGCCAGTCTGGAAGTTGAATGTGCAAAATTCAGTGTTTAATTTTAAATCCCACCACAATCCTCATTATTCTAATTTGAATAATTATTTTACATTCACCCAAATTTACCACGTATTTCCAAGTGCAGATTGTTGTCTTCTTCAAATTTTGTTCTCTACTATGATTGTATGTAAATTAAAAAAAAAATAAAATTAATCTTTAGATATATCTTTTCAGTGCTACTAGATGAGAAAAAATTAGTCTGGATTATGTGTCATGTGCGATTCTGTTTTTCTTTTTTTAAAAAAAGAAAAACAGTGCTGCAATACAAAGTAATATATTCTGTAATTTAATGGCTTCATTTGGCTTTCAGAAGCCTTGTGGTTATGGTTTTGGGAATATAGTTTTACTAAAGTAAGTTTAGTCAGGCTAAATTCTTAGTGCACGTGAGTGTTCTGTTTGTGAAACTTTAATATCAGAAATGGCAATTCTGCTTATATTTCAACCAAGATGCTGTCTTGAAAAATTTCAGACTACCTTGGTTTTGATAGAACCCAGTTTTGATATATTTCTTTATGTGCTGCAGAACTTTATTCTTTCTTTTTATTTTTTTGTCTTTAAGGCCCTAGAATCTGGAGCAGCTGTAATCATGAATTTACCTCACTATTACTCCTACGTTAGCTTGTGGGATAGTGCAGGATGTTTGCAATATCTAATTCCAGACCACAAAACTTGAGAAAGCCTATATCTGTGAAATAACAAGAAGGCCAACCTTGAGAGGTGCATAATGCAGTGCCTTTCTACCACAGTGATTTAGCTTAAATGTTCCTCATTATGGAGGCCTTCTGTTTTTCAGTACAAACCACAGCAACTGATTTCATGGGGATAGGATTGAACAGGTCTCAGGTATCTTATTGAATAGCTGATGATGATTTGTGTCTGAGTATGAGACTAGGCTAATCCAGTGTCACAGGGTTTTGGATTTTTTTTCATGATAAGAATAATGGCCACTTACAAATCTATTCCGTCATCTTGTGTCCAACAGTGCAGGTTTAGTGTCTTGTTGATTTCAGACAAGAAAATCTGTAGTTTAGAATATTCCTGTTCTTCTTACCATCATTTCTAGATTTTATTTGTTTTATGGGGTTGTTTTTTGGTTTTTTTTTGTTTTTTTTTTTGGTTGGTTGGTTGGTTTTAATTATTGTTATGTCTTAGCATTGACCACTGTCTCTAAGAATCCTATTTTTTAATTCTGTTTATACTCTATGATTGACAGTGCTGATTTCTGATGAAATCTTAGTTTCCACATTAAAATCTGTACCATTTTCTATTTCTGTTCCTTAATTTGCGGTGTCTTTACTGCTGGATATCTTTATTGCCGTGTTATTTCCCTCGCCTCCCCTCGCCTCGCCTCGCCTCCCCTCGCCTCCCCTCCCTTCCCCTCCCCTCCTCTCCCCTCTAGTGCCTGGAATTTTGAAGTTGTAACTGTATATGAGGGCTCCATGTTGACACACTGTTCAAATAATCTTTCCCCTCCCTCTTTTTTTTTTTTTTTTTTTTTTTTTTTCCCAAGGGACGCAAGAGTGAGGCAGAGAAGTACTTCGTGAAGGCAATTCAGCTGGATCCTACCAAAGGAAACTGCTATATGCATTATGGTATGTTTTAGACAGATAGGGTTTCCACACATATACCAGACTTGCTGTTAATCTCTGAGTGATTAAGGATTTGAAAAGCGCTACTGGCATAATACTTTCTTTAAAGGGCAAAAAACTAATCTACCATGTATAACTTCATCTCCGTTTCAATTTGTTAATAACCGCAGAGGGAGAGGTGAAGATTTTCATATCTTGCATAGCTTTCCCCCTGTGAGAGAATTTCAGTGTTGCTGAAATTGCTGGGAAAGGAGAAAGGCAACTGCTGCCATATGTCTAAGCTTCATGGTCTGGAATACCATTATTAATAGTTTTGGCCTAACTTTGCTGCTGGCCATGGTTGGGCAACTAAAGGTTTTACATTTGTGCATATGAGTTTTACTAGTCAGTGTGTCTGCATTTTGTTGAAGACTTATGGGTCCTAAATCTACATTCTTCCCAGCATCTTCTTGTCTTGAAATGGGTAAGTATTACAAAAGGTTTTGACAAGTTGACTATGTTATGTCATACTAAGGCATGAATCTGTTTAAAGCACTCAGTTAATTTGACATTATCCTTGTAAGTTTGGATTGTTTTTGCTAGAAGTGAAAAAAATATTTCCAGATGTGATTACTCCCAAGGAACCAAAAATGTTTAACTTTATGGACTAATTTTCACTGTATTTTAAAACTGATAATACATGAATCTATAAAAAATGCAAGTTACATAGTCCCAATTGGAAAATATGGAAAGAAGTAATAAATTCCAATATAGTTAAGGAAAAAGGTAGGGAACCACAGGAACTCTGCATATATCTTTGTATTCTGTTTTAATTTCCTCTTCAGTTTCTAACTAGTGAATGTAATATAGATGAAAATAAATGGCCAAAACAGAAATTTAATCTCACATAATAATCGTATTTTTATTTTGTGTGATTTCCTTCTCTGAATTGGTCACACATTTTCTTTCTGTTTGGTCAGTGTTTCATAATTTTGCATTATTGGTTGTTTCAGTTAGTGATGTTATGTTCTACTCATGCCGGTGCAGGTAAATTTGATAAGCACATAAGTTCCATTATTTCGCTTGGATATTAGTATAGCTGATGGTATCTCAAAGTAATGAGGAAAAGCTGCAGTACATTGTTTCTTGAAATCCTTCTCAAGCCCCCTTCCAGCCTTACTAATTAAGAAATTATCTTCTGTGATCAGAAATTCTATTTGCATACAAATTCAAAGGTATGACTCAACTGTCCATCAGAACAATTGAAGTTAGAAATGCAAATAATTTATTACAGATCTAGATTTTTGTCTCTTCTCTTTCGTTACCTATTAACTTGCCTGTCTTTTCCTGAAGTATTCCTTATGTGTCATTTCCAGTTTACCAATACACTAAAAGCAAGGTTATTCAAATCATCATTCATGTCTGCTGTATTTTATTCTTCATTACCAGACTACAACATTAAAATAGTGTATTGTTTCCTAATTAAGACTATTCCCAAAAGCTTTAGCAAAGTTTTACTTTATTGTGCTGCAAGTAGAGTAAATGGTTTCCACGTACTTCTGCAGTGGTCATTATGGCAAAATAAATGAGATTCTGTTCTGCAAATTTGCAGTGAAAGTCAAAACTTGGTGAGTGTTTGGAATATACAGTAGTAAAATGTGATACTTAAGGGCAGTAGAGACAAGAAGTCTCACTGTACAAGCTACTGGGTCTCTATTGTGGAGTATTTTATATGTCTGTTGAATGCTAGTTAAAACTTTTCTTGTGATTACAGGATCACAAGAGAAGTTTTAACTTTTTAAGCTTCTGATCAATTCAAGGAATTCAGCAGTGTTACTCCATGTTTGTATCAAAGTAACTATGAGGAGGATGGGCTTACATGTCCATGTAGTACAGCTGATCTCAAAATCTTGTCATTTCAGGCACGAAACATTATAAATTTTGAAACAGATTGTCATTGCTTTTCTTTTTCTTCTTCCCTTTTCTTCTTTCCATTTCACTTCTTGTATTGATCAAGAATCTTTAGTGTATATTACCAGGGACATTCCTAATATTAAACAGGAATCCCTGGTGAACTGTAGGTGCATCTCTACATCCTATGTATTCGTTTTAGCACTTGGTCACAGGTATGGTCTGTACTCTACATGTCATATTGTGCATATATATATATATAATTATTATTTTCTCAGCATGAATGTATTGGAATAGCAAGTAAAATAGTTGGCATTGATCCCTAATAAAACATATACCTCACTGAACAGCCAAATGAAAAGAGCAGTCTATTGGGACACAACAGCATGTTGGTGGGGTAGCATGAATATTTTATTATATGAAGATTATCCTCCAAAAGCACATGTATGCACACAATTATAGTGTCTGCTCCACGGATGTGTGCATGTTCTTTTTGACTTCTAAGTTTTTGGACTTTATTGGAGCTATCTGAAATGACTGTTGATACACTGTATCTTTTAAGAGGATTACACTTCTATTATAAAGTTCTTTAATTCAGGCCATAAGCCAAAGCTATTCTTAGAAGATATGATTTTGTGCAGGAGTCAGCTTATTTGTTCCCATGAAAATTGAGGTGAACAGCTTCCTGGATCTCCTTGGGATAATACCACCACAGAGTTTTTCTGTGCTCGAGTTACAAACAGTTTCGTGTAGGTAACTTGCTCACTTTGGATTTCAGTGCACTTAAAGCAGTGTGTCCCAAACTCAGTATAGCTGGAGAAGTCTGAAAGGAAATCTAGTGAAGAGTCTGAAGAGCTCCAAATCCCTCTGCACTGCAGACATTTTGCTGCTTCAAATCATATGAGGAAGTGTCTCTTGCTGCAGTGACCAGAGAGCAAGGCAGCCCCCTCTGAGACTGAAATGCAGGTAGCACTCTTCTGTGCACTCTTTTTTTCTCTTCTGTTCTTCTCACATGTAATTTATCTGAACATCTGAACGTTGTCCACAACCACTGGCTTACAAAGTGTGAGTCTTGATGGGTGATCTGATATAAGCTACTCTGGCATAGTACGCTGCCAGAAACATCTAGCAGATGGAAGAGATAAAATGCATATCAACTGGGAGGAAGAAATGCAGTGGGGGAGAGTGCAGAAGCATCAGTAAAATTTTATTTGTTTATTTTTAATTCTCTAGCAATGAAAAACCTTTGGGTTGGATTTTTTTGTTTGTTTGTTTGTTTTTTATTTTGCACAACCTACATGCTTTTAAACAAAACACTGTATGAAATTATTTCAGATATAAGATTTGAATTTTTCTGTAAAACTTAAGATTTTTAATTGGATATTTTTAATACACATTTTCTGTTTAAAAAAGCTTTAAAGTCATCAGTTTTGATTAGACCAAGTTGAATTTAATAAATGCTTATTTGTTTTTGAACATCAGTTTTCTTCTTAGCTGTGATGTATATAATGTGTAGTTACACTGTTCACAGTGCTGAAGCTTTGTGCCTTTGGTCTTCATTGCCTGAGGAACAGCCTAGGAAAACTTTATTTATCTCCCAAATATGTAAGGAAAATATCTTCTGAAAAGTGTAATAATGAAAAATGAAATGTGTAAGTTATATTGATACAAAAGGGAAATGTCAGCTATGACCTAGCAATGAAATTTTAATGATTTCTTTAAGAGCTTTGTGCCAGTGGAAGAAATGTCACCTAAGATCATAGGAAGTTCAGTTCTTCATCAATGAAATGAAAAAATTGACTTTGCAATTTGTAATTCCAGTGAATGAACTGTCCATTTCAGACTGGCAGATTGGTGAAGTTCAGTATATGCTGACTAATAAATAAAACTGAGTTCCTGGGTCTGCTCTTTTGGGAACACCAGATGCTACATAAAGATTGTGTGTTGAAAAATTAAATTCAGTGATGGGGTCAGGGCCAACCAGATGCAGTATGCCCATCACTAAGTCTCTTTGCCAGCCTTCCTAGTATGCATGCAATGAACCTTTCTGTAAATGAAATGTGGAGGGTGTTTGTTTTTTTGTGTTTTTTTTTTGCTTTTTTAAACTGTGTGGGAATATTAAATATATCACAATTTTGCTGGGAAGCTATAAAAATAAGTTTATGATACTCAAACAATGTATTTTTGTGGACCGTGTACTTTCTAAAGAAAAAAATCTCTCCATTTTGAGCATACAGGGCCATCAAACTAAGATGCTTGAATTGTGTCTTGTACCTGCTCCTACAATATCAGTGAATGTTATTCAAAGAAGACAGGATTTGCAGGTCTAAAACAGGCAGAGAGCTGTAACTTACTCAAATCTTCCAACCTTTCTGCTCCCAGAACTCTCTCCAATAACTTCAAGAAAATGTTCAGCTTCTATTAGCATAGACAGTATTTCTTCCAAAAGGAAACCAAACAAGAGGGATGTAGTAGAAATTGAACTATCTGGAAGAATTTGAAGTCTTGCTTGCATTTTTCTTGGCAGCTGTGAATAACTTTAATGAGCATGTGTATAAGCTTTCAAGTTCTTTTTGCTGCTCTTAGGCTGTTGCTATCACACAGCATTCAAAGAAGATTATTACAAACCATTCTAATCACTATTTATTACAAACTCCCTTTAGAACCCATCACTGAAGTGGAATGTAGTGGCATATTTCCAAGCAGGTTAGGTCACTGACCCTAAATGCTGTGGAATTTACATGTTTCTGGCTCTTCCCTTGAGGTATCCTTAAATGTAATCATTTTGACATCCTGAATACATGGTTGACTCTGCTTCCTCAGCACAATACACTAGGCTGCTCAAGAGATATTGAATAGAAATTTTAGATCGGAAACATTGCTAGAAATATGGCTTTATGCTTCTTTCATGCTGCCAAAATTTGGAGTTTCTGCAGAAACTGAAAAGCTTGTGGTGCAAACATCCCCGGAAACATTTTTATTAATGATTATATGTTTTGACCTGTGATTGCAATCTCATTATGAAGATTTTTGAAGAGACAACGTGGAGCTGCTACAGAAGTGCAACTGGATAGATCTTTCCCCTCCAAATATCTCTTTTCCAAATATCATCA